CATCCCTGCTAAGCCCAGACATATGCTGAATGCTATCTTCATGCTTTCTCAGCCACACAATCCAACACAGCCAAGAATCAGATTAACTCTGGATGAAAAGGTAGAGAAGATGAACATGAGATACACGTGTAGATAGCTTTTCTTGAAGAATTCTGTGTCAGTAAGTCTCCAGCTGCAAACAACTTCTAACATGTAAACTCAAAACACTTTCAGTTAAAAGGAACAGGCAAATCTAGTGTAACAAGCCTTGGGCATTTCTACTGTGCTACAGTGCTTGGTGGAAGTACAATAGATCTCTGGGCAGCTATTTAGCACATGCCAAAGAATGAAATATTTCTCATAAAAACCAGTAAAGGAGCTTGCGTGCTCACTGATGCACTGGTGCAGGACTGGGATCAGCATGAGGGATCCATTTCAGAAGTCTCAGAAGAAGAAGAAAACAAAAGATTTTTTCAGTGCATCTCACTACTCACTTAAAATTTTGACATGGAAACAGAAGTTCCTTTGAGTTGATCAGGCACTACGTAATCGGCTTTGGGAGTTGCTTCAAGTACAATTACAGGCCACCAAAACATAAAAATTATCCTCAGCCTGAAATAGGTATGTCATAGTTTAATCACATGGCTGAAGTACAGCTGTCATCACCCGATGAAGGAACTTAGGCAGGATCCAGAAAACCACAGTCCCCTGACAAACACACCCATGCTATCTGTCATTACAGCCACATCTCCACATTTCCCATGGATTAACCACAATTTCATAATAAGCTCACACATGGAAGATACAGAGAAGTCCTCAAAGAACTGCTGTGATGAAAAGCCCGTGTATTAGGTTTGACTTACACCAAAGAACTGGACCTGCTATGGGTAAGGACACTTTAACACCTTGACAAACTTCCATAAGCCATTAGGCAAAAGAACAGGAAAGCCCCCTCCATCAGAGGACAACAGGGAAAAGTTACTTCTGGAAAGGACTGTGTCTGAAGTGAAGGAGGAACCAGACTCATCAACTGTGTGACTAGAGAGTCAGGTCTATGAAAACAAATACACACAATTATATCAGCAAAATAATCATCTGGTTTATTTTGCTACTAAATGCATCTTGAAAAGCCCTTCCTTTACTACTCCACCCCCAGTGGATTTTAAGAGCTGCAATCAAATGTTGGGAGTCATCCAACACCCACACTGTGAGATAAAGTGCAGTAGCAACTCCAAAACAAAGGACAGAGTACCTAAACTTAGCTGAAAGAGATGTTTCTAAGCAAATAGAT